TCTAGTCTAGCCTCCTATTATACAAGTTACATAAGGGGTTTTCTAGTCTTTTTCTAGCTAAAGTTGGCCAAATCCTTCCCTATCCGACTTGAACTCAAATTCCTTCGACTTGGGGACGAAGTAGCTTCTCCAGGAAGTCTTTTAGATAATTAGGGTTTTAGCCACGGGGTACGACGGTTGGACCTGTAACTCTTTTTCCAATTGTTTTGGATTTAATAGCCCCCAAGAAAATTCTTCTCTAGATTGGAGCGCGTCTTGATTTGTATAGCTTCGGTTGGACTTTGGTCAAATATGGGCATGTTGCACTACTATATCTACTTGTTTTGATCACAAAGTCAACATCCGATGCCCATATCCATCTCTATTTGAGACCATGAGCTTTTGTTCTCATCCTCCTTCTGATCATTAGGTCCCTTGGTGATCTATATTCGTCTTGAGTGGTTTGTCTCATTGAAAAGCACAAAACAACACCAAAAAGGCATCACATAGTACAAAAACACACTCGAGGTATATCATAAGCTCATAAAAATAGTTATAATTTCATATGAAATATAGTCAACCTCACTAAAGATGCATTGATAGAAGGGGAAAATATATCAAGAATGGGAGTGATAAACACTATATATAAAGAGTCATCAAATGGTTGTTCAATTTTAATAAGGAGGATAGCTCCCTTGCTGAGGTCTCGATTGATAGCCTTGGTTTATATAGTTGACATCAGCATGTCCTTGTCCTCCTCGGCTATAGCATTCGAATTCTCCATGTCTTTTTTGTGGTGTGCTTTAAGGAATTTTTAGTGTGGTGAGGTTGTGCTGTGCTTTTAAGGAACTTGTGGTGTGGTGAAGTTATGATATGCTCTCTAACTTTTGTGGTTTTTTTTATGTGGTTTCTTATGGGGATAAGATCATGTGACTAGGGGGGGTCCCTTAGTCACATGACTTAGCCAATCTCAGTCATTCAACCTCATTAAAATCTAATGGTTCTAATTTATCCAGTTTAGTGAAGGATAAGATGATAATTACACATTTTATTTATTTACCAATTAAAATAAAAAAATTGCAGCGCCCAGCGTGGGTATCTCCCACCCCTCGCCGGGATTATCTTTGCCGGTGATTTTTATCGTGGCCTTCGGGCCAGATTATATTTGCTGTGGCCTTCTGGCCATTTCCCATTCTTCCTTTCCTGGAGTTTTTTTCCCAACAGGTACGAGAGAGAGGGAGAGAGATTTCGTCATCGGCAAATTTTCTGACAGCGGCCGAGTGAATTTCAGGCGATTGGGGATTTTCCAGCGAGAGCATCTATTTTGTTATGTTTGCCGGACGATTTTGTAATGTTTGTAAGTATGTTTTGTGATTTTGTATTAATTCGGTTTGTATTGTTTATCATTCTAGTTTGTCAATTTTATCTATTATGTTTGTAATGTTTATATGACTAGTTTGTAATATTTGCTTGTCTAGTTTGTATACTTTATGTTACGATTTGAATACTTTGTATTTATTGATTTGTAATACAAGTTTCCTGTTTTGTATTGTAAGTAGTGGCATTTTGTACTATTAGTATGTTTAGTATTGTTTGTCGGTCTAGTTTATATTGTTTGTATAGTTCGTATGTTTCGTATTATTTGTATGTTTTGTTGCTCTAGTTTGTATTGTTCGTATGTTTGTATGGTTTTTACTTATTGTAAGTGTTGTTTACATACTTCGTAATTTTCCATAATACCCAAACTGCCCCTATCATTAATTAAATAGCTTTTCCCACTTTTTAACCGTCAGATTGTTATGTCCAGATCAAAGGGCTGGGAGGGGCTTAGTCAAGTGACTAAGAACCCCCCTTAGTAACAGGATTCAGACCCGTTTCTTATGTTTATGGCCTAGATTTTTTGCTCTCCTCTAATTAATACACTATCCTCCAATTAATGCACACAACACATGATGGTTTCCCTTTCCCTAATTTTTAATTAATGACCAACTTACCTATACTTTCACTTTCCCCTCATTAATTGTGATTTTTGATCAACTTATTTGAATTAAAAAGTAATAAAAAAGAAATGTTTCTATTAGTTAGAACAAATTTTAGCACCGTACTAACAAAAAAGTGTTAAGCATTCTAGCCCTTCCTCTTGGAAATACTTTCAATTGTATTTAGTTGAATATGCAACTTGGAAAGCACCATGTCGGTGTTTAGAGTGCCAGGGGGAGTTTTGGATGAGATGAGAAGGGTGATTTCGGCATTTTGGTGGGGACAACAGGGGGGAGAAAAACGAATCCCATGGAAAGCTTGGAAGAACTTATGCAAACCTAAAGAGGAACGAGTGATGGGGTTTAGAGACTTTGGCACTTTTAACCTGGCTCTACTATGGAAGCAAATCTAAAACTTAATGGAGAATCCAGAAACTCTAGTAGCTCGGGTTCTAAAAGCTAAATACTTCTCACATTCTGATATCTTAAGTTCCTCTCGATAATAACCCAAGTTATACTTGGAGGAGCTTGATGGCAACACAGAATCTAGGGAAGCAAGGCTTGTGATGGAAGCTAGGGAATGGCTCGAACATTTATATATGGGAGGATAGATGGATCCCATGAGATGAAGAGGATGACTATAGAGCGACATCTATGAGGTCAAATTTGGGGGATGATGATCAAGTGGATGTGTTAATCGACTTTGATACTAGAACCTGGAAGAGATCGTTGCTGCAACACTATTTCAATGTTGTGGATATAGCTTGCATTGAAGGGATACCTATTACGAGGAAGCCATCAGCGGATAAAAGAATATGAGCAGAGAGAAATCGGGCAAGTATACAGTTCGATCAGCGTACAAATTTTGGTACAAGATCAGGAACAATGAAGAGACATGGGACGAGAGCGAAGAGGCAGAAGGTGAAATATACAACCCTATGAATTTGAAGCGTCTATGGACTCTGAATGTTCCTCCAAAGGTGAAACTTTCTGTGGAGATTTGCCCATGACATTCTCCCAACGGGGAAAAACATAGAGGGGAGGAAGAAAGATGCACCAAGTGAATGTCCATATTGCAACCAGGACGAGACACAAATTCATATATTCAGGGAATGCTCAGGACCACTAGGATCTGGAGACCAACGAAATACAGACCTCTATTCGAATCAGGGGAAAATCTATCCAGTGGTAGTTGGCTATGCGAAATCATGGAGCGAGTGGATGATAAAGTGCTTAGTCGATTAGGGATGATTCTTATGGAAGATATGGGGTGAAAGAAACAATCATTTATTCAACAATCACAAATTGGAAGAATGAGGGATTATCGGTCGAGCCCTAGATCTACTCGAAGAATTCCAATCACACGGAGAAAAGGAACATGAGACAGAAGGGGAAGAAAGGGTTACCTGGTCGCCACCACTGGCTGGCTGGAACAAGGTCAGCGTCGATGTCACTGTGTTGAAGAATGAAGGAACTAGGCTGGACATGGTGGCAAGAAATGCGACGGGGGAATTCCTCATGGCATCGGTGGCGAGGGAACGTTCCGAGTGGGAACCTGAGCTGGCAGAAGCTAGAGCTGTGCTCTACGGGCTGAGACTGGCAATTCAACATCAGCTACTCTCAGTGATCATCGAGACAGACTGTCAAGGACTGGTGAAGCAGTTTAGAAATGGTGAACGAAAGAGAACGGAGGTGGAGTCGATTGTGGAGGAGATAGAAGAGATAGTCGAAGAAGCCGGGCTGGAGAACTTTCGGTGGGCTTTTGCCAAACGACAGGCCAACTCCGCAGCCCATCTGATGGCTCACACAACATGTAACTGGGATGCCCACGAGATATGGGTCCCAGACCTCCTATTTTCCTCGGTTCCGTTCTTGCTCAGAACTATAATGGCTCTTTCTCTATCTAAATAATATCAGTAGGTTTCTATAAAAAAAAATTATGCAACTTGGAACAGAAGTTACGGAAATTGAATTGTGTTTTTTTACCTCAAAGGTGAATCTCTTATTGCTACGAGAATCTCCAAGCTGTTGGAGTTTGCTTCAATTCTCATTGCTCTAGCCTTTCCCGTGGGCCGCGGGCTATGTTCCTATAATAAGTTGAGATTCCGTCAACAATTGCATGTCCGAAATGTAGCCAACCACATGATAAAATGGCTTCGGTTTTTGCTAATGTGATCCGTAAGACTCTCCACAATTTAGGTGGGTTTAGGGGGAAAAGTGGAAAAATAACCCACAGTGTGGGTGGAAAAGTGGAAAAGATGGAGAAAGGGGGGAAATTGGGTGGGAATACCCACCACTAGCAAACAAATGGTGGATGCAAGGGAGGGAGGAGGGGCCCATTGTCGGGCCCACATATAATTCTTTTTTAATTTTTTTGTCTAATTTATTTATTTTAATGGTTTTCTTTTATTGTGAGGTGTTTTGATTGGTTTTATCCGCAACTGACATAATTAATGACGTTATATTTAATTAGTGATGAAAAAAATTATGTCCAAATTAAAAAAAAATTATATCGAAATGTTCGTATTAATTAATTATCACTAACTATGTAAAAATTATGATCATTGTATAAAAGTAAAGTGAGAAAATTAATTGTAAATTGATTTTAACAACAAAGTGCTAAATCAATTACCCACTTTTCCCACCCTGTGACCAAAACATCATTTTCCCCCCTTTTTCCCTCCCACCCACATTATGGATGGTCTAAGCGAGAAAGCCCACCAAGTTTAGAATATAGTGCTCCAGAAACATGTCATGTTATGTCGTCACTTTAGCATCGATCTAGCTAGCAGCCAACATAATATTTCACACCCCATCCAAGTTGAGCTTCAGAATGTCTGGGTGACCATCAAGCTGGACCTAAAGGGAGGGAATTGAACAAGTGCATATGTTATAAACTGAGAAGCAAGGCTGCTTTGACTTTTGAGATGAGGTTGGAAAGAATCATGAGGTACTATGTTGTGACTAGCGAATTCTGCGTAGCAGGCGCACACATACAGAAAATGCTGATTGGAATTGAAGGTTGGGGCTACAAGGTCAGACTAAGCTTCAAAGACTTCATTGAGTACACAAGATCCAAAAGAGATATACTGTCGCAACACACAAAAACAAAAGAAGCGAAGAAAAAAGGTCCAGAAATGAAGGGGAGGTACCTTCTAGGTAAATACAAGACTAACTCAAAACAATGAAACAGCGAAGAAGCTACAATCTGCTCGTATCAGAACAGACAAACATAATCCAAACCCTCACTAGTACAACGACTGCACACTGCCCGTTCATCCGATCTACCAAGCTACGCAAAAGACTCAACACCAAAACAATCATACCCCTGTCTTGCGCAGTTCAGCTGCCCCGTGAGCAAAATTACACCTCTGACCGAAGCTACAAGCCCCTTTGTTAAAATTGTCGCATATCTTTGTCTTATAGTTGCTTCCTGGATGATGCTTCTCCCCCGAGAACCCACCCGATGGCTTGCTATAGCTGTGGCCATGGCCATAGCCACCAGCTGGACCTACATTTGCAATCAGCTCTTTCACCATCGCGCTGGCTTGACCAATCTGGTCAAACGTCCCCTCCAACTCGATGTTCCTAAGATTAGCATCCGTCTCATGCTCCCTGATCGACAGCTTGGCTCCTGTCTGCCTGCTTATCTGCTTCGAGTTCACGCCTCCTTTTCCAATTATAGCCCCCGCAAGTGACGCATTGACGCTGATCTTTGCAGTAGCTGTATCGCCAAAGCCCACTAGTGGGCCTGGTGGGGGCGGCTCCATCCGGTTCATTATTCGGGGACCAGGAGGAGGTGGGCCAGACATACGGTGATGGTCATCGTGAGACGGAGCAATTGGCCTCCCAAGCTCCCACTCACCATGTGCAAAATGGCACTTGTCGCCATACTTGCATCCTTCAGCGGTGTTGTACTTGTTGCACATCCGGTTTTTGATTGAGGGTGCATTATTAGAGCCATTGGAGACTGGTTGAGGTGGGGGCATGTTGTTCTTTGGCATGGGTGTGCTGGATTTGTTCATGTGTTGGGCCACTGCATTGTACCCACCCGGTACATAGTGCAGGAAGTGGCAACCCTCGCCGAATGGACAGCCAGCAGTACTGCATTACGGAGAAAATTCAGCTCAGAAAGCAATCATCATGGAATAAGCATTCAAAAATGATGGCTTAAGTCTTATGAACCCCAAAGAAAAGTCGAGAACACTAAGATTGTGCCAGGCATATATCGAACCCAGAGGAAAACTATACCATAGTGAAGTAATAGCTTCATTGATCAAAAATAGAGAAGAGAAGGAATGCAGATGCATGAGAACACGGCATAAGAAAAAACCATTGATTGAAGTTGAAAACCCAGCATGACACAAAAGCACCAACACATCATAAATGTCAGAAAAACCTGAACTCACGAAGATTCCAAAAACACGAAAGTAGCCTGTACATAGGCAAAAACAACCTAGATAAGTTCACCAAGCTTTTAGAAATCAACATCATCTATTGAGATTTTGGAATGAACTAGCATCCATTTGCCTCAAAACACATGACCGTGCTGCAGTTGGTGCAATTACATCTTACCTTGTAGACTTTTACTTTAGCTTACCATTCGACAGTAGCATTCAATACTCAATAGTCTAGTTAAGCAGTTGTTACAATCAAAATCAGCTCCCTCAAATTATCGAGTAATGCTGGAGGCACCCTTTGGGCCACAACTATTGGAGGCAATCAATTATTACTGGGATGCAGTTGTTATCCAATGAAAAGGACATCTCTCCGCTAAATCAATTAGTTAACTTGATAGGATGACGGCAGAGTTACAAGTTTTGTACCTGTAAGGGTATGATACCAATTTCATTAGAGAAGCAGAAATGTTATGAGTAGTGAATTCAATTCTCCCACTAACTTTGTAATGATTAATAGTGATACTGCAATCCAAGATGATTATTTAGGTGAGAAAGGATTAGAACCTGAAAAACTTGGTGCATGGCTTCGATTTGCTTCCTACACCAGTTGATAACGAGTCCATTTCTGTTAACAAACATTAGTTGCCTTTCTTCAGTTGAATGTTTTGAAGATTTTTAAATCTCTGCGATAATCTCATCAAATTTTTAGTAATAATAGCGTTTATCTGTAAGTAGTAGGTAAGATTTCATGAATTACTACACAAGTACCCCCAAAGAGAAATCTTTAACAACTGGATGATTGAGTGACTTCCACTATCATCATGTTTGAGTGACTTTCATAATCACCAATGTCTATTGAACTTAAAACAGAGCTACAAAGATACAGTGATACAGGAGAGATACCCCACCCTCCACCAGCCATATGGCCACGAACTCAAGAGCTGAACCCCCTGGAACGCTCAATAGCAGGGAAAACACTTAAAGAGTTGGCAGGACAGATTCGGGGTATTGTCTATATCAAGAGCAACCCTTTTTCCAGTCTTCACCAACTAGTCTAAAGATTTCTTTGTCCTTGGTCACTAACCAGCAGAATTAAGAAAGAAAGGAAACAATCCCAGTTGGTAGTAACTTGTAAGAGCAAAACTTCCTAAGTAAAGAGTAACCCAGAACAAAAAAAGAACCACTTTAAGCTACAAGCTCGAAAGTAGCCCAAATCACCCCCACAACTTCAGGTCCATTGCTTTACCTACCGGCCAAGGAGGGCACTATATATAGGGTATAAAAAGCACAGCTTGAAAGAAACTTACCTTGTCTAGATTTCTTGAATCCGCCATTGAAGCTGTTTGCTGCCCCGTCAGGCCTTCTCTTCCTCGTGTCCATTTGCAGCCTGGCTCCCAAGAGATTCAGATCCAGATACAAAACACGGCTCAAACAGGTCCAACAGCCGCCGAATTGAAAGAAGAACTAGCCAAAACCCTCCCTAAAACCCAAAGTAGTTCAAGAGCTAAACTGCAGCAGCAGCAGCTAAAGCTTAATGAGTATAGAGGACAAGCCGGCGGCGAGAGAAAAGGGAGGGGAGAGGGTGTATATAGCCTGGGAAAGGAAAGAAAGGGATGAACTGATAAGCAAGTAAGAGAAAGATAGATAGATAGGGCTGGAAAACGAAACGTGAGAAGAAAAAATGATTCCGCGGCGGGGAGATGATAATAGTTTTTTTTTTTTTTTTTGTATTTATTGGTTGGTAATAATTTTAAATGATTTATTAATTGATAGGATTGGGGACTGCCTGGGGTGGCTATACGGTCCGGTCCGGTTAAATTGGCCCAAATTGATCCGGTCCAGTCCGGTCTTTTTGAAAATATAAGGACCGAAGATTGGATTGGATACAGTCCGGTCTTGATCCGATCCGATTTTGATCCGGTCCGGTCCCAATTTGGTCTTGATTTTACATTGAGATTGTGGGATTTGAGTGGCCTAAGGCCTTAAAGGTTGAGGAGTTGGTTAAGTTTTGTACTAATTGCAAAGGTTTGTGACTGTTTATGCAAATTACCCTTAAGTTTTGGGTGTTGAGCTCTCTTATCCGGTCTTTATCCGGTTTTTTACCTCAAATGTAAGCCCAAAGATTGAATTGGATTGTTTAATATCCGGTCCCGGTCCGGTCTCGGTCCGGGTTATACGGTCCGGTTTCCGGTTTTTAATCCGGTCCTGCTCCAAATAGCCACCCCTAGGGAATGGGGATTAATTCCTCAATCAAGCTTCAATTTTCAGAACTTAAGAGGAATTGAATTTTAGGTCGGACTAATTAGGGTTTCAACTTTGATCTAGGAGCAATCAATGTTAAAAATTTTCTTTTAATATTTTTTGATAAGTACGATTTAATATTCAATAAAAATAAAATTTTCAATTTTCTATCAAATACATGTTTACTTTATATCAAAAGAATCACAGTGATTCAAAAATATTAAAATTTAATGATAGGGGTATTTGTTTGGTTAAAATAAAATCGGGTAAATACAATTTAATATCCAAACATTTCATTTTAAACAATATAATAGCCAAACCTATTCGAAAACAATCTAATATCCAAATCGTCAACTTTCCGTTTGTTTGACCGTTAGTTGATAATTCAAAAAAGCTTTGTTTAGGGGAAATTGTCACAATACAACTTTGTTTCTTGTTTTGGGATTGCATATGACTTAATATTTAAATATTATATACCATCATGGTGGAGTCATGGACTTCTCGGGTTTGGAACTACGATATGTTGGTGGTTTTTCAGAGAAGATATCGATGAATATTGATGAAGTGTCGTACTTCGAACTTTTTTGAAGTGTCAACTAACGGTCAAACAGACAGAAAGTTGACGATTTGGATATTAGATTGTTTTCGAAAAGGTTTGACTATTATATTGTTTAAAATAAAAGGTTTGGATATTAAAGTGTATTTACCCAATAAAATATAGTGAAACTTTGATAAATCAATATATAAAATTTATCAAATTATGAGAGACTTGATATATCTCAATCTTAGAGATTTAAAACTTCTTAAATTAAAATGAATAATATAAAATATAAAAAATCATAACTCTATATTTATGAATTCGATGAATTCATGTTTCAAATCCGTTTCTCTAAAGTCCAAACGAGCACTAGAAAAGATTCGGCACCGCTAGCGGACCTTATTTTTAGGGAAAACAAGCAAAAAAGGACAAAAAATTAAAGATGGCCATGCCACGCATAAGCGTAGAGATGGCAAAAATATCCGTAACCGTGGATATTCACCCGAATCCGACCTAATCGGGTAGGGTAAAACTCGAACCCGAAGCATTTTTCGTGGGTACGGGTAAAACCCAAACCCGAATATTGCGGGTAATGGGTGGGCATGGTTATCTCACTATCCAATCCGAACCCGCCCGATTATACACATGCATATGTATTTTGTCTAGAAATAATCATTATTTTTCCCTAGAATATTTTATATTAAGCATATAAATATAATATTTTTATGAAATTATGTTGTTTTAATTAATTTTCGTCATTCTAGTGAATTATTGTCGTACTTTTCCTCTTACGTAATGTGAGTATACGTGTGAATGTTAACATATTGGTTGGAATTATAAGGAAAAATTATTACCCATGGATAACCGTGGATACCCGAAACCCGAACGGGTATGGGCATGGTTTTGATTTTCTACCCGTTTCTCGTGTGGGTACGGGTATGGGTAAAACCCGAACTACATTGGGTAGGGTAACGGATATGCACTATCCGCCCCCGACCCGACCCATTGCCATCCCTACATAAGCGGATGATCATCTGTCTTCCGCGTGCAAGGTGACGGGATACATGATAATGTTTATAACAATTGTAATTAATGGCATTATCAATGGAGTTGGTTTTACGAGTTTCTTTCTAGGAGTAATATTTTCGGGAAAAATCCAATGTACCACTGTTTAAAAAAAGAATTCCAAAAATACCATCCAACCTCAAAAAATTTCAAAAATACCACCCTTTTTCAAAAACCGCCACCCCACCCTGCGGTTTACACGAAAACCGCTGGGGGGCGCGGTTTCTATGCAAACCGCGGGCCTAGGGGGCGGCTATAAAAAAAATTGACCAAACCGCTGGGTGAGGTGGCGGTTTGGTCAAATTTTTTTTTTTTCGATCAACTCCTAACTTCGGCCAAAACTTCAAACGAACTTAACTTTGCACTCGGGTATCCGATCGTAGGCAAAAAAAAATTTACTTCGCATAAATTTTTAAGACCTACAACTTTTACTAGGATGAAATTTTCAAAACAGGAATTAGTTGTGGATATACGGGACCTTGTGAATAACTTTATCTTTACTTTTCACAAATCCATGTACATTTTGAAATTAGGATTATGTTAAAAGTTGCAGATCTTGAAAAGTTATGCGGAATCAAAAAACAATTCATGACGTTTGGATTTTGGAGCACAAAGTTATGGCCGCCCAAAGTTTGACGAAATAAAAAAAAAGGCTCGTTCGGGGTGGCAAATGACGTTTTTTCGAGACGAAGGCGGGACCCGATAGTTTGCGGCTTGCAAGATCTCAAAAAGTTATTCGGATTCGAAAAATGGAGGCCGCAAACTTTTTGAGATCTTGCAAGCCGAACGTCATGAAATTTTTTTTTATTCCGCATAACTTTTCAAGATCTACAACTTTTAACATAATCATAATTTCAAAATGTACATGAATTTGTGAAAAGTAAAGGTAAAGTTATTCTCAAGGTCCCGTATATCCACAACTAATTCCTGTTTTGAAAATTTCATCCTAGTAAAAGTTGTAGATCTTGAAAAGTTATGCGAAATGAAAAAAAATCGCTATGATCGGATACCCGAGTGCAAAGTTACGTTCGTTTGAAGTTTCGGCCGAAGTTAGGAGTTGATAAAAAAAAAATTGGACCAAACCGTTGGGTGGGGTGGCGGTTTTGGGCCAAACCGCCACCCCACCCAGCGGTTTTGTCCAAATTTTTTTTTATAACCGCCCCTTAGCCCCGCGGTTTGCATAGAAAACCGCTACCCCGCCCAGCGGTTTTCGTGTAAACCGCAGGGTGGGGAGGCGGTTTTTGAAAAAGGTGCTATTTTTGGAATTTATTGGGATTGGGTAGTATTTTTGAAATTTTTTTTAAACAGTGGTATTTCTGGAAAAAGTCCAATATTTTCATGGTTTTTCCCTGGTGTGAACCCCAATAAATATTTTGACTTACAGATCCAATTAGTTAATTAACAAGCCTAAAACTATGGTTAAGCTTTGTGTTCCAAACCAACTTCAACAGATTGAGGATGCTTGTAGGCACTGAAATAACAAATTCAAATCCAAAGCAATGAGAAGTGATCTCGTCATAGTAGGTGGTGTCAAATTTACATTACCCGAAGGTCATGGTCATATTCTCTACGGTCTATCACAACTAGTAATGGCAAATTGTACTCGACCTGACCTGCGATGGGGCCAGTATTACCCGACCCGCAGTAGCGGGTTTTAACCGCCCCGATCAGTAGTGGCGTGAGGCGGGTAAAACCATTAGATTAGAATAATAATGCTAGGGCCAGAATTAACTCAAGGATATTTTAGTCAACAATTACACAAACCCTAATATAAATACCCCTCTTTTCACCTGTTTTCACATTTACGGTTTCCTCTTTTAATCTCTCAGTCACGGTTTGTAGCCAAAACCTAGAAAAGCCAGAGAAGAGTGCTTGCGAGCGGAGGGAGGCGTTGAAGCCGGCGGGAAGGGTGTTTCCGTCAGTGAGCTGGGAGACATTCGTGGCGACGAATCTTTTCAAGTCTACAACCGCCCTGGTGCTCTTTCACCAGTTCTGCGTCCGAGGCCATCGATCCGGGGGAACGACGTTCCTTCTTGTTGCCTCGTCCTTCCTGTTCAAGGCCACCGCCGCCCAGATTTGGGGCTCCGCCAACAGTTTCGCTTCCGATTGATCCATTCTCCCTCCTCCCTTTTGATCGTCCAATGCCCTGTTTCTACTGGCAATCGGCGCTTATTCGAATGAAGCAACAAATATGCTTGTTGAAGCAAGATAATGCAGCTGATGCTTTGTCCTCGCAGTGATTCCATAAGGTGTTGATAAATTATCATTGTAATTGCAGTGATTAGTTATCAAATATGGCTCATAATCAATTATAAAAGAGACATAGATATGTCTGTTGATTAGTAGTGATTATGTTTGTAGATATTAGTATAATTGTGTTGATTAGTAGTGATTTTGTTGTTATGATTCTTATTTATAGATATTAGTATGTTGCAGTCATTTGTAAGTAGTGATTCTGATTGTAATCACTGGTTTCTGTTAACTAGTAGTGTTTTGCTTATTTTTAGTACTAATTTTTTTATTTGTAATAGTGATTTATTTTTCTAGTAGTGATTCTTACTTATGCAATTACTACTCTTAAAAAGGGTGAAATACTACTAGTTAAATTAATATAACTACGCTACACCTGTAAAAACACTACTACAAAAACACTACTACAAGAGTACAAGTCACCAAAACTGCTACTAACAGTATATATATGAGAGAGACGAAATAAATATTCTAAACTGTTATTTTATTTATTAAATTTAATTTCTGAAAATACCAAATATACACTTCATTATTCTCTGACTCTCAAATTTAC